GGGTTTAATATTTTTCCTAGAACTTTTTTTTTTTTTTTTTTTTTTTTTTTTTTTTTTTTTTTAGGGGGTTGGAAAAAAAAAAAAAAAAAAAAAAAAAAGGCAAGAAAAAAATGGAACCTGTACATTCATTTCCAAGTCAATATTCATTTGTTAACCAGTTTGACCCCATGAATAAGTATTTTCAGTGTTAGAAAGACTGCTTTGTGTATGGGTCCATATTATTTTTCCTTCCTCCATGGCTGTTGATGAGCAGATATAGTTTGCCTCCAGATACAGGAATAGCTGGGGAAGCATTTATGCAGCTGCAGGTAAACTTCATAGAACAACATTACAGTAAAGCTTCCCTTGGGTTACTTGAGGCCTTCGAGCAGTGGGTTTCTCACTGAAAGAGGAAAGTCTGTATAGAAACTAAAAATTTCAATTCTTAATTATTTAGAAGAATGTCTGCTATGTGCACTTGCTACCAATATAAGGAGCTGGCTCGTTCCTAGCCTGAAGTAATAACAGTTACGTCTAGCCTTGTATACATCTGAGGAAAGTTTCACAGCTGCTGCCAAGTTTTATGGAAAGAAAAATTTTAAAAAGTTAATCTTAACTAAACCATCGCACTGAATTACCATTGCACTTAGGTGCTGCTGACTTTAAATGAAATTCCATTTTTAAAGTCTTCACAGAAATTAAAACAACATTTCATATACAGAAATAAGAATCGCTCTCTAAGTTATTATAAGAAAGCTCTGAAATCTTTATAGACTACATGTACCAGTGTATGAAAACTGTCCAGGTTAGTATAAATGTAAATTACGCATTTTAAAAAAAATGTGTATTTTCTTAATTTTATTAAACTGCCCTCTGAGCATGTGTTCATTTAAGCGTTATTTTCATTAGAAAAACACCAAAAAGTATTTGAAAATGACTGGTCTGTGAATATTGCTGAGGTATTTAATCTAAGTGACCTAGTAGGACACTTGAGATACAGCAGGGCTAGAGGATTGGTCCTTTCAAGTGCTTTCACTTTGCAATGAACCAGCTGGTTTTCAGAAAAATAAGAACACCCTCCAGCCTCCTGGAGAGCAGTGGGTAGAAATTACATAGCAGGTAGCTTTGTTCTTGTTACTCACCTAAGGCAGACATTTCAAATTACTCTCAAGGAGACTTCTTTGTCAGAAGTCAGACTCTCATGAGAAGAAATCCACATTTGGTGAATTTCCAGGTGGATTTACAGACCATTACATTCCGGCAAATTCTGGTAAACTTTTGTAATCCACTTCTGAGCTTCTCGTTCAGTGTTTCTTCGATGGTTAATCCGCTCTTGTCTCAATCTGGTTTGAAAGAGTGTGAGAAACTAAAAACTGCCCAAATTCCTGGATGCCATTGGAAATGTGTTGGAAAACTCAAGGACTTTCCCCAAAACTTTGTTCAGCTTTAGCTAATAATGTCTTCAAAATCTCATAAGATTTCAATTTAAGGATTGGAAATATATTTTTGTGTATTTTTTTTAGAGAAGGGTAAACTTAAAATTGTCTGAATGCTTTCAAGTGAGATAGAACTGCTGAGGCCACAGTGACATGTCCCACAGACACACATGACTTAGTGGGGAAATAAAGCAATTTAAAAGCATTTTTTTTTCAGTACTGTAAAGGATAGTATACTCTAGCACATTCATGTGTGAGTCCTTCAGCAGATCAAAGAAGAAACAGTGATTTAGCCATAGAAATACATTGTGATAACAGCCAAGTGTCTTAAGGTTGGCTAGGCCTGGATTACAGTGGTGAATATGGAAAAAAAAAGATTCCTACTGCAAATACCTTCAAGTCTAGGACAGATGAAAAAGAAAATAACATTAAGATGGCAAGAGGGAAAAAATTAAAAACTTATTCTATGTAGCTGTGAACATCGAAAATGGATTGTGGAGAAGTCAGCATTAACAGATGAAGTTAATGTTTTCTGTGGCCAGATTTTCAAAAATTCCTTTGTCCATCAGCTGTCTTTGAAAATGGTGGGATTAAGAGATTCTCTCTGACATCTATTCTATTCTATTGTATTTTCACAGGAATTTGTATGGAAAAAAAATTTGCTTGCCTTAGGGAAAAAAAAAGTTGAATCAAGAAAGTCTTTCAGGAAAAGATGTTCCCTTTCCACCATTCATTAGCAGAATTTGTCTTTGCATTTGAAGTATGATCTGCAGTTATTAGTGGGTATAATCCGAGTCTTTTGAGTGCATGTTGGGGGTTTTCCTAAACTTTGGTATAATAAAACATCTGCACTTCTGCAGTCTGTTGTTTTTCATGTTCCCAGCAGTATTTTCTGCTTGTTTTGTTAAAAAAACAAACCCAACAATTAACATATGGATTATTAAAAAAAAACTATTAAGAATGGCTGGCCTGGGTCTCCAGGTTGGATCAGCTGGTATGCGTTAGCTTACTGCTGAATTGTCTGTTAGCTAGGATGGCATTGATAGCCAAGTTTGGATTTTGTTCAGCTGGATTATTCCTCCTGGTTATATGGCCCTTGGTTTTGTACTCAGGATTTTTCTGGGAATACAACAAGAGTTTGAATGTTGATGATTTTATTGGGGGAAGTTTGCTTATATGAGACGAGGTCTCTCTCAAAGAGACTTCAGTGTAGCTGTGAAGTTGATTTGGCTGTTGCCATTCTTCTCTTTCTTTTTAAATTCAGATATGTAAATTCTAACAGTTTATAGCACAATTTGGACTTAGTGTAAGAGTCCCATGCTGTCCGTGATCTGCATGGCATTTG